CCCAACGGAACCCACTGCCATCTGGCTCAGAGCAACCCTCGCTGGGATTTCTGAGTAAATCTTTACAGCAGCAGACTGCATCCTCTTTCTCCCGAGCAGGAGCTGGCGGGTTTGAACTACCAATCTTCATCTCCTGTGTCATGTTATCAGGAGGGTCCACGTCCAGGAAAGGGAGATAGATATCTCATAAAGGGTCAGCAACAAAGTGGAAAACTCTTGGCAAGAGATGGATTTGACAGGCAGGAAGATCATGGGAAAAGGTTTTGTCTCCACCAAATGCCTATGCTACATGAAAATCAGCTGGTCATGCCACAAATAAAAGGGTTTGAAAGAAGGCACATTAGAAGCCCACGGGGAAGACCCAAAGCTGGCATGCACAGGAGAAACCAGCAACACAACGTCATACGTGTGCCTCAACGTAGCCACTAAGAATGGCCACTGCCCTCAACCACAGCCCCCAAGTGGGGGTAGGAAGGGACAAAAGAAACAGAGGGCAGGCTTTCGGTTCGGAGGGCTCCTCTTGGTTTCTCGGCCTTTTCCAGTCACTTACCACGTGGTTTGGGGGCTCTCCCGAACTCTCACGCAGCTCCCCTCTCAGCCTTGCACGCTTTCGAGAGATCGTGTGTATGATCAGAGACTATATTACCTTTGCCCTCATACAAGTTACTGGGGCATATAAGAGTCCTTCTGCCATGTGAATTCTTTGAGGGTGGCAAAGCGAGAACTGGGGAAACCCATCCGAGAACCCTAACGTTGTGTGTCCAGAAAGTCAAAGCATAGGATGGAGGAGAGATCTCCAATCAATGTTCATTCCAATATGACACAGAGTGGTTAATCACAATGTCCATGGACAATGAGGCTGGAGATGTGAGGAAACTTGTAATAGGGAAAAGAAACCCATCACACTGCCTCATCCCATATACTGCTCATCCCCAGAAGGCACCCATCCTGACCCCTTCCTCCTTTACAAACAGCCACATCTGCACTAGGAAGCCCCCCACCCCCACCCCGCTTCCTGGTGCAGACAGAGCATCAAAGCTCTGCTTGCCCGCCTAAAACACTAGTTCTTCTGGGTTGCTAATAAATTTTTCCTCTTTCAAAATCTCCGAGTGCCTCCTGGTCATTCCCGGGGGACAGTTTTGCTGTTAGAGTTACAGAGAGGGTTAGGACTGGAAGCATGAGTAGTTCTAGAAGACAAAGGAGGGGAGGGGAGAAGAAGTACTTCATCCTCATACGGGAACCACCAGATGTATCCTGGGGGCTTGTGATGGGAGCAATGGGAGAGCAGCTTGGAAGAACATGGTCGAACTTCCGCTTAGGAGGAGTAGGAGACCTGGCTTGAAGCTGTGTGTTCACATGTTGTAGGGGCAAAAGACTCAGCCCTCGAGTCAATTCCAACTCACAGTGACCCTATGGCACTGTGAGTTTCTGAGACAGTAATTCCTTATGCAAGTGGAAAGCCTTTCTTTCTCCCTCAGAGCTGGCTGGTGGTTTCAAACCATTGACCTTGGGATTAGCAGTCCAATGTGTAGCCACTACAAGCACCAGGGTTCCAGGGGGCAAGAGACCCCAAACACAAGTATAACTTACGGAGAACATTGTCTTAAAGAGGGCAAAAACATGACAAAGACACATTATCCTGGTGAGAGGCTGTATGTTATTCTAATCCTTGTCTTTTTTTAAAATCCCTGTCTCTTTTTAAGAATCAAATTGAGAACACTTCTTTCTTCTTGGGCTCATTATTAGCCCCTCATTTCCCCTTAACCTCCTGTGGCAGTTACATAATCTCCTGTCCACTTGTGAAGGGGTGGAGTCTAGCCTGTCAATCAGGTGGAGGTGCGAAGGAGAGTAATAGCTCACGGGAAGCTAGATGCTAGCTCCGCTTCTCTCTCTGCGAGACGTTCCGTTGACAAGCCACATGGAGCTGTGGTGATGGCAGCCAGAGCCTTGCAGCTGGAGGAGCCACGTGGAGACCATGCCAGTGCTAAGATGCTTCCACCGCCACTGGATCCACAAGACTTTCCACCCACTGGCCTGGGATCTTCCTGCACTTAGCATCATAGCATGTGTTGCATGAATCTGAAGAGGAATTTACAGTCTGCTATAGGACATATGAGCTAATATTGGACTTATGGACTTGATCTGGACCAGGCTGATATGTTTTCTTAATATAAAATTACTTTTAAAAAATCATTTTATTTGGGGCTTGTACAAGTCTTACCACAATCCATACATACACATCCATTGTGTCAAGCACATTTGTATACTTGTTGCCATAATCATTTTCAAAACATGTGCTTTCTACTTGAGCCCTTGGTATCAGCTCATTTTTAATGTAAAGCTCTTTCTTATACATGAGTGTCTATGAATTTGTTTCTCTAGTTTACCTGGACTAACATACTTCCCCCGCCACATCCAGTTGCTGTCTCTATGGATTTACCAATCCTGATATTCATATACAGAAAAACACTAACATTTTAAAAAGAGTAACAACAAAGCAAAACAAAATAATTCTGTGGCCTTCAATCAAGGCAGTCAGGATTTGACTCAAGATCTATGCAAACCTCAGAACCCAATGTTCCATCAAGGCCACACCCAAGCAATTCCCTAGGGCTAGACAGGCCCTTCCTCCACTGGCCTGGAGACTGTCAATAATTCACTTTCTAATGCACTGTGCCTGAAAACAAGGCTATTCACACTACTGGCTATTTGGTCGGAAGGAATTCAATAAAGGCGTAATCCACCTGGAGGCTCAAAATTAGACTTCAGGATCTCACTGTTGTCCTTAGCACTCAGAACTTAAAACACACAGAACCACCACAGTGCTCTTTTGCACACTGTTTACCTGGGGTGGCTCGAGGAAGAGATGCTCATGTGTGGTGGTACTGGTGGTGGAGCAGAGGGCATTCCAGCCGCTCCTGGGCACAGCAATGCTTGAAAAAGAGCGTAAGGTTGCTGCTATACAAGAGCAGGATGAATGTTAGAGAGTCCGTCACAATTTCCACTGCACCCTGAACTGGAGCAGCAGGACGGAGGTGGTGAGGTTTCAGAGATGGATGGGCAGAATTTGATGAGAATGGATGAGAGGGCGCTGCAGGTCAAAGATGACCGAGACTTCTTAATGTGGTCTACTGGGTGATTGGCAAAGTACAAACTGGCTTTGTTGTCTGGGAGTACAGTGTGTGTGTGTGTGTGTGTGTGTGTGTGTGTGTGTGTGTGTGTGTGAAGAGTTTCTGACATGTTGACCTTGAGGGAGTGGGGAGTGGGCACAGGGTGGTGGAAGGTGGGGAGTGAAAGGGAGGCAGGATACAACAGAAACATGACTGGCCAAGAGAATAACAGAGTTTGAGGGAGAAAACAAACATTAGCTCAGATTAAGTAAAGCTCGACTCTGCACTCATTAAACTGAAAGGAACAGCACAGGTAAAGGCTGCTGCACAGTTACCTACCACCCAACAATGTTTCCCCCAAGGGCAAGCTGCGGTTGTCACGTGTCAGAATGACTCCCTTCTCTCTCCTTGTGCCTGCCTGCCTGAGATACCTTCTCCAAGATGATGGGCTCTCTGAGACTTGCTGTTGGGAACGTCGTCATCAGTAAAAATGGAACAGCTTTGTCTTGCCTGGAAGATCCAAGTCACTCAGGCAGATTTGATTTCCAATCCAGGTTCAGAGCTTCAGAACACAATCGTTTACATTTATCTTACGCTGGTAGGAGCCATTGAACTGCTAACCTTAAGGTGGGTGGCTCAAACCCACCAGCTACTCCTCAGGAGAGAGATGAGGCTGTCTATTCCCACAGAGATGTACAGTCTCAGAAACCATAGATAAGGTCACTTTTTTAAAAAAAGTTGTTTTATTGACACTTCTTCCCCTTATCATAGAATTCAATAGTTCAGTCACCTCAAAAAGAGTTGTACAATCTTTACCACAATCAGCTTTAGAACATTTTCTTCTTCTTTGTACTTATTAGTAATGTAATTATTAATTTTTAAGTGTGGCAAAAATATATACACAAAACATTTCCCAATTCAATACCTTCTACATGTACAATTTATGACACTGATTATACTGCTGTGTGACCATTAGTGATATCCCAATTATTCTGCCACCATTAACATAAACTCAATGCCCTCTAAGCAAAAATTCTTCCTCTTTCACTCATGGTAACCATTGGGGAACTTTGTTTCTTCTTTTTTTTTAATAGTAGTTTTCTTGATATAAAATCCGCGTCCTTGTTGGGTCACCTTTAGAAAGAGCTGTATACACATCATCTCCATCAGTTCTAGTGCTCACTCCCCTCCCTCAGTTCACCTTCACGGCAGACCCTGTGATGTTTTGCACTGCAGGCCGCCTGACTCCTTTATGCTGCCATGCTTTGCTTCAAGACTCTCAAATATGGCTGTTTAATTTACCTACACT